TGCTGTGAATGACAGCATTCTGCAGGAACCCTGCTGAGGACAGTTCCCACAGACAAGACAGAAGCACAGAGAAAAAGAGCAGTTCTCTTCCTGTGTTCACCTCTCCTCCTACTCCCTCCTCCTCTCCAACAACCAGGACTTTGTCTGAAGCATGTGACCAGCCGTGGGTCAGCCCTATTGGTTACTACGTTGACCAAAATTTGGACTGATGAATCCACAGTTTGTGATGCCAAACTAAATGGAATCATTTGCTGTGGTGCACATTTGACATGGACATGTGGCGGTTTATTACCAGTCGGAGAGTCACAGGGCGTAACTGTCGCAAACCAGCTGCAGGTGTACATGGCTAAATCAGTTTATGTTAAGCAGATAGAATTTGCCTGATAAATGAACAACTGCTTGTGTGGTTGTATCAGATTCTATTCTCATTGGATTTATTGAAAAAAAAAATTGCCTCCTTTTTATCAATAATATGTTTCGTCTTAATTTGGTGTCAAAAGTTTGAAGTAAACAAACTATTGTTAAAAACCCTTGCAAATAAATATTACGAGAATGAGTTACATGTTGTTGAGAACAGAGCTCACTGATTGGCTGGTTCAGTGCCTTGTCTTTTACATGCATTTAACATTAGCTTGGACTTTCCACAGGGTCAGATTGACCATAGCTGTGAATGTGAGTGTGAATGGTTGTTTGTCTTTATATGCGGCACTGTGACGGACTGGACAGCTGTACAAGTTGCAGCCCACCATGACTATACTGAGATTAACTCCTCCCACAATCCTGCAACGGGCAGGGAAAATTAGATGAATCAATATTTGTGTAATGGAAGATTTTAAACTTAGCCTTTTACGTGACACAGTGTAGTCCAAGTAGGTAAATTTAATGCTTGGCTTTTCACGTTTTCAATGGTCTGTGTTAAAAGATGGTTGGACTGAGATCCATCTACACACCTTTAAGAAAATAAATCCTAAACTCTTGGTGAGACTACTCCCCTCAGCTCTATTGTTAAGCACAGGATGCTGTCTGGAGGCAGAAGGTATGCTAGAGGAGATTATCCCGCCTCGGAATCCAAACATTCCCCACATCCATGATTTTGACCATGTGAGCTCAATCTCTGCATATTTGTCTGTCTGTGAGTGACCACTCCCCACGTCTCCATATCCTACCAGACAAACACTTCATAGATGATCTCTGCTGACTGCTTCCCTTTTTTTTAACACCACTTTGGTCATCACTTTTTCCCTCCATCAGACTGACAGTGCAGGACCTGCTGGTGTGTTTTTTGAAGGGGGGTGGAGGGGTGATGGTGGAGACTGTGGAGGGTGTGAAGGCTCGATTGAAAACATGTCAGTCATGTTTTATTTGAGTGTAGCTGTGGACCCTGTATACACTCACACTGTGGTCATCACTTCATCCTCATGTTTTCTAAACTAACATCATGTTCATCTTAAATGTCTATCTATAGGTGTGTTTTGGTCAATCTGTAGGCTCTTCATGCTCTTTTATTTTTTGGACAAATCTTATCTAGTTTTTGATGTGGATTCTATGTTTCGGGTCCTGGTGGTGAAATGGTAGCTCCAGTAGATACCACCTAGTCCCTGAATTCCAGATTATGTTGTGATAGAAAGGGCACCTGGTATAAACACTCATAAAATAAAATCACGATGATGACTGAAACTGTGGTGACCCGTCACGAAGGGACGAGTGGAAAGAAATGTATTTCTTTTGCCTTCTTTATTATTTATTGGTATATTTAAACATTTTAGTGATGGGTTAAAGCTACAGGCTCACAGTTAAAATATTTTTTTAAATTGTTTTTCAGTGCTGTAAACCTAACAACAATTGAAGAGGTAAATCATTATGTTAGAAGTGTGTTCCTATTAGCTGACATGTAGTCAGGTTCATTTCAATTTAGCTGACCAAGCACGTGGTATGTTGGCATGACATTTGAATAAAACCTTGCCTTTAGTGGTGTTGTTGTATCGCAGATTTATATTCACTTTTTTTTCAAACCTAGGCCCAGAAATCCCTGGCTCCTCTGAGCTCCTCTGAATACACTCTGTTTGTGAGTGAGTGTGTAAACTGTATGTGTTTTCATGTAACTTCCTGCTCTTTGAGCTGATCATCGCTGAACAGTCAAGTCGCGGCCCTGGGGAAGCCATCACCAGGCTCTGGGCATCCACCACCTCACACGCCCCAACACACACACACACACACACAGTAGATAAACACGCACCCACGCACAGAGGCACCCTTATGACCAGGGGGTATTTGTGACGTTCAACATTATGAAAAATGACTTGCCCCCGTAGCATACTGGGGTGGCAAATGATTATAATATCCAGATAATCATTCCAAACAAATTATCATAATTATCAATCAATCATGAGCCTATTTAAGCAGGGGGAGGGACGAGGGAGTGTGGTGCTGTTAGCGGGGGGTAAACTATGGCCTGAAGCATTGGATCACTTCTGCGACCCGTGAGCCTCCTTCTGTCCACATAATAGCCCCCTCATACATTTAGGGTCATTTAGCTGGCGTATTTAAAGACTCAATCCCCCCAGCTTGATACCAGAAAGGAACATATTCACACACATGTGCACGCACAAACCCACCCACAGAATCTCAATCGCAGCTGACCCCCATTTGGCTCCTTAGTCTTTCATCACCGAGTGGGAAAAAGCTACTTATAGGTCAGAGTTCGCAGATGTATGCTTTGAGCTGAGGTGGAGACAGAACAATAGCAAGTAGAGTTTAATTAAAAAAAAGAGAAAAGAAAAGATGTATCGCTATCACTGAGGCTTTGGTCCTGAGGAGAAAAGTGTTAGAAAGGCTTGATAAACAGAGGAAGAAAGACACGGACGGAGAAACAGAAGCGATTGACTCGATAAAGAGATATCCCGCTCCATCTTTTCTCCGTAAATCCTCCATGAAAAGCAACATGAACTGATTCAATCTCAGTGATACGGAGTGGTGCCGTGAATGGGGATTGGAGAAAAGGAGACAGAAAACAGGGAGAGATAGATAGTAGCCTTCAGGGGAAGATGATCGTCTTGGGAAAAAAGCAATCAGTGCTCATTGATTTTCTCTGCTGGGTGAATGGAGGGTGTCTATCTGGAAGTCATTATCTGCCATCTGATCTGCTCCAGTGTTTACACACGTTGGGATGGACAGCAGCCCTCTCCTGAAGATGAGGATTAACACACAAACACAAACACTCCTGGAGCCACATACACATACACTATATATCAATAAATAAATATATATAGACAGAGCGTAAGCTGTCTTCTTTGCCCGGCTCCCTATCACACTATCACTCTTAAATCCTAAAAGAAACACAGGTCCTCCCATATCCCAATAAAACACGCACACACCCCACACGTCTCTTTATATGTGTGTGAATGGGAACGTTCATAAGCAGGGCCTAGACAGCCAAACAGACAGGCAGTCTTGTACCAGAGCAAACCAAGCAATCCCTGATCCTATCACCAATAGGCTGTGATAGAAATCTAGAGCTGCAACAACACCGTCCTGTCTGCTGGGAGAAGAAGTGAAAAAGAAATAAAGTGGGAGGAGGAGGATGGAGGCAAGCAGGGAGGGGATTCAGATAATACATTCTTTTATTTTCTGCCAGTGGCTGAAGCTGTAAGAACAGCACCTTAAAGAGGCGTCAACTTCAGGTCAGATACTGTTGAGGACAATGGCTTCACCAAAGTTTTAAAAGCAACGACTCACAGTTCTACAAACTGATGATGTAGAGTAATGATGAAAAAAAACCATCAACTCAATGATGCAAAATTATGAATTTACTAATTTATAAAAGTTCCTTGATTTTTTTCAATATTAATAATTCCATAATTTGGATCAGTCACATGTGGATTAATCATGATTAATCCACAGCTAGCCTGGAAAGCAGGAAGTACAAAAGTGAGGAGTTTTTCATCTGGTCTCAGCTTTAAACAATACAAAATAATCAACTATAAACTACAGACTTTCTTCATCTTTTTATCTCAAACTTCATAAAAACCCTCTACTATAATTATAATGAGCTTATTTGAACAATATCATTAATGAACATTAGGAAAAAAACGCAATGAATCATTTTCTGGAAAGCACGGCACCGTACTGTATGAGAACCACATATGCACCTACACACAGACACACACACACACACACACACACACACTTCTAGTAGTTAACTACTTTATTCATGAGCTACAACTCAATTAACATTCTACTTTTATCAAGCGTATCGCCCAGAATGACAGGGTGGTGGCAGTGTTTATGTGCATGTGTGTTTGCGTGTGTATGTGTGTACGTGGGGCCCTAGTTTGTGTGTGTGTGTATGTGTGACTGCACAATGTGGATGAATGAGTCATGTCATAAGGAATGGCTCATGCATAATTTCATTCATATTCATAACAGGCATGTGGTCTGCAGGCCCACCGCAACTCACACACTGCATAATGAGCTGTGGCCAGGCGTGTGTGTGTGTGTGTGTGTGTGTGTGTGTGTACTGTAGGTAAGGGTGTCTGATGTCTGTGTTCTCTCATTTTTGTAAACCTGACTGTGTGTTCGATATCTGTGCCCGTGCAGCCACACTGTATGTGACTCAGTGCAAAGGTCACTCTCATGTGTAAGGCGGTCAGGTAGTCCAAGAACCTTTTTGGGTTTTTCCACACTGCATGAACATTCGGGGGCCGGGGAACGGCCACGATCCTGCGGTCGACTCTTAAAATTACCTCATTGACTAATGTAGCATTTCAAATCAGTGGAGCAGTGGCTGATCTGCATGCCTGCCTGTTTATAGAGGTTCTACAGCAACAGGACCCTCGAAATGCAAATGAGGAATTTTAAGTGATCTTGTTTTTCTAAGAGCTAAATTGGTCATAACTGTCCATTACACCTCAAAAGACCTTGACTGGAATCCGCCTTTTAAAAGCTGTTCATGCTGAGATGTAAACAAGAAGGAAACTCTGACTGGTGTATAACTGTCCTACCTTTTTGATGCAGCTCTCAGGGGAGGCGTCTTCATGGTCGTTCATGATCTGCTGACAAAAACAAAGACATTATTTAACAGCTGTCCCTAATGTTTAGAAATGTATGATGAAATAAACTAGGTATAAGATCAATGTGAAAATAAAAAGGTTTTTTTTTTTTTTTTTTAGTCTTGTATTATTTGTACCCACTGCGGCCACTGCTGGGCACCTGCCATGGTCTTTC